TCATAGAAGGCTATCAGATTAGTCAGACATGACTTCTCCTTGGTGAATCCATGTTGACTACTTCTGATAACCTTCTTTTCTTCCAGATGCTTTGAGAAGACACCCAGAACAAGCTGTTCCATCATCTTTTCAGGGATGGAGGTGAGGCTGGCTGGCCTGTAGTTTCCCAGGTCATCCTTCTTGCCCTTTTTGAAGACTGGAGTGACATTGGCTATCCTCCAGTCCTCAGGCACCTCACCTGTTCTCTAGGACCTTTCAAAGATGATGGAGAGCAGCCCAGGAATGACTTCCCCCAGCTCCCTCAGCACTCACGGGTGCATCCCATCAAGCCCCATGGACTTGTGTATATCCAGTTTATCTAACTGATCTTTAACGTGCTCCTCGTCAACCAAGGGAAAGTCTTGCTTCCTCCAGACTTTCTCTGTTACCTGCAAAGTCTGGGTCTCCCGAGGACTGGCCTGGACAGTGAAGACAGAAGCAAAGAAGGCATTCAGCAACTCCACCTTCTCTGCATCATCTGTCACCACGGCACCTGTCTCGTTCAACAGTGGGCCCACATTTTCCCTAGTTTTCCTTTTGTCTCCTATATACTTAAAGAAACCCTTCCTATTGGCCTTGACATCCCTTGTCAGGTTCAATGCCAAGGCTGCCTTGGCTTTTCTTGTTTCCTCCCTGCATACCCTAATTAAGAATCTTCTGGAAAATGCAGTGAGGTCCACCTATCAAACTATAACCCCCCCCATCACTCTCTCTCTGGCCTTCTTACTGACCTACTCACTCCCTTAGCTCTTTCAAGGCAAGAAATGTCACTCAGATCTGTAACTGAGAAGCCTGCATGATCCAGTATTTTGATGACACAGGCACAATTCATCTTATAGTTACCTGGAACTTGGCACAATTTTCTCTTTAAGCTCTGCAAAAACATCCCTATGACAAAACAAATTCACACTAAACTGGATTTCCTATCAGAAGTTACAAGAACACAGAGAAATACCAACAAAAATGTTCTTGGATAGAAGACAACTGGAAAATTTGAGGCCTTCCCATGATTACAAATGAAAAGATTATGTCAATCATTTAAGCCTGCAATAGGGCCTTAACTGCCCTCAACAGACTCTCGTGGACTTTCTCACCACAGAACTACCAAATAAAGGAACAAAGCAAGGGAAAGTGACTTAAGTAGAAGCTGCCACCTCTTCCTCATACTCAGCCTCTCTACTTTCCTTCGGTCCCTGACCTGACCTTTCCTGCAGGAAACACCTCTGGGCCATGGCAAATCAGGACTCTATCACATGCACTACTAAAACAAAGAGAGTTTCAGCCACGGATTGCAGTAACACAGCAAACCTGCTCTTTATGCCGAATCTGAGCACGTGAAGCAACCCAACCTTCAAAACTTTCTCAAATGAAACAACCTTTAGTGAAAAAAAACCACTTACCTTAATTCGAGGCATAGTCACAGTGGGTGGCTTCACTTCAGCAATGAAACTATAGGATGTCCCTTTTTCAACAACTTGTCTAGTATACGGCATGAACTGTTTACCTTTGGATCCAAAAACAAAATCATGTCTCAAAGCATCTATTAGCACAATGACAACTTTTTTGAAAAGCGGTGGCGGAATTTTGGTCCAGTTAGAAACCATTCCTAAACAACAAAAAACAGGTATATAAAAGTCACCAATAAATTTTAAGAAGAGATAGACAAAAGTTAAAGGACAACTTCACCACAGAAATGAGTGCTCCCAACTTCTTTATTAACTTTATATTCAGAAGCAAAAAGTTGCAAACAATAGCAAAAATGAGAATTAATCAGAGTATTCAGGCCATCCAGCACAGGAATGATACAACAACAACAACAACAAAATCCAATACAGCATCAAGGACGGAAAACATAGAATCATAGAATGGTTTAGGTTGGAAAGGACCTTGAAGATCATCGAGTTCCAACCCCCCTGCCATAGGCAGGGGCACCCCCCACATTTTGTTGCCCAAGGCCACGTCCAGCCTGGCCTTGAACACCTCCAGGGATGGGGCCTCAACAACCTCTCTGGGCAACCTGTTCCAGTGCCTTACAACCCTCAAAGTAGAAAATTTCTTCCTAATGTTTAATCTAAACCTGCCCTCTTCCAATTTAAAGCCATTCCCCCTCGTCCTATCGCTAACTGTCCTAGTAACAAGTCCTTCCCCAGCTCTCCTGTAAGCCCCCTTTAGGTACTGGAAGGCCACAATAAGATCTCCCCTGGAGCCTTCTCTTCTCCAGGCTGAACAACCCCAACTCTTTCAGCCTCTCCTCATAGGAGGGGTGCTCCAGCCCTTGGATCATCCTTGTGGCTCTCCTCTGGACACGCTCCAGCAGGTCCATGTCCTTCTTATGTTGGGGACTCCAGAGCTGGATGCAGTACACCAGGTGGGGTCTCACGAGAGTGGAGCAGAGGGGCAGAATCACCTCCTTTGGCCTGCTGGCCACACTTCTTTTGCTGCAGCTCAGGATACGGTTGACCGCCTGGGCCGCGATCGCACAGTGCTCGACATGTTGAGCTTCTCGTCAATCAGCACGCCCAGGTCTTTCTCCTCAGGGCTGCTCTCCAGCCATTCTCCTTCCAGTCTGTATTTGTGCTCGGGATTGCCCCGACCCAGATGTAGGACCTTGCACTTGGCCTTGTTGAACTTCATGAGGTTGGCTTGGGCCCACCTCTCCAGCCTGTCCAGGTGCCTCTGGATGGCCTGCCTCCCCTCCAGCATGTCTACCTTGCCAAACAGCTTGGTATCATCAGCAAACTTGCTGAGGGTGTACTTGACCCCACTGTCCATGTCAGCGACAAAGATGTTGAACAGTACAAGTCCCAGTACCGACCTCTCAGGAACACCTCTCGTCACTGGTCTCCACTTGGACGTTGAGCTGTTGACCACAACTCTTTGAGTGTGACCATCCAGCCTGTTCTTTATCCACCGAGTGTGGATAAAAAAAACATAATGTGAATGGAATGCATGATGTGAAACTGGGAGAACTAAGGAAAAGCTACAAAATGGAGAATGTTCAAATAAATCAGAAGGGATAGCTGACACCTTCTCTCTGTTTAATTTAGTAAAGCTGGACTACATATATCCGACAGGCAACTTTTGTTAGAAAAAAAGATGCAGCATGCATCTGTGCAAATACCCAATCACAAGCAATGCCTTTCAGTAAAATCCCACCATAAGGGACCAGGAAAATTACAAATAAGTAGGTTGTTTCACTGAAAATTGAAGGGAAAAGATTTGTGCACAGTTCCACCCTTCAAGGTAGAAAACTGTATGCCAGGATAGTTCAGCGATGGTAGCTGCAGGGCCAAAATCCAATTCCAGAATCCCCTGAGCTTTCTATGCAGCCAGGCACAGCAAAATGCTGCTGCGCATCAGGTAGGGGGCAGTGTCACACCTTCAAGCCCAGCTCTCTCTCGTACGGACTTAATGCTGTCCAGCAACTCTTCATTTGCATTGAGCTTGGTCAACACAGTGACATTTAGCTTTTACAGCAGCAGGTTTTGGCTCACCATCTCTACCACAAAAAAACACAGAAGGACAAAATGGAAGCAGAATGGATCCTACCCACAGATCTCTACTCAGACAACATTGTCGTAAATCAACTTCTCATTACATGCATTACATAAAGTTAGGGGTTTTACACTCCTTTAGAATAAAATTTGTCTCTGAATAAGTGGTTGATGATTTGGAAAGATCACAGATAATGTTGTATCTAACAAGGGAACCTCAAAAAATAACCTCAGAAACTGTATTTTTGGGCACATAAATAAGAATCAATAAATTGACATTCACAGACTTACTACTGCTAGTGATTTTACCAGATAATGAAACTGGGGTGGGGGGCACAGCAGGGGGAAGAAGGAAATCTCAACAACAACAAAATGCTAACTGCCAGGAACTCTGACTTAAATGATAATGTTGTTTATCCAGGATTTGAATTATCAACTTAGCAGGCATACTTTGGCTCTCAATGAAAAACAAGAAGGCACAACTGGATATACTGTACTGTTAGCTAAATCTTTCTCATAATTTACTCCTATCCACTTGCTGGATGTCAAAAATGTTCAGATCACAAACACATACACCCTACTCACAACTCCCTCCTGCAGTGTTATTCATCAGTGAGTCAAAGCATTGAGAAGGCATTATGAGACGATTACAAGCCATTTGAAAATACTTATTATAAAATAGCTGAAGCAACACATTGTGCAATCCTTGGCAGACAGCATGTTTATTTGTCTCTGCTATGGTTATTTAAAAAACAGTTACTTTAAATGAAGCTGAACTTCTGTAAGCAGTGAACTAAACCATAGGTTCTACCAAAAACTTACCACAATGCTGTGCTGCAAGTATTCACTATTATACAAGCAACTACACAATTTTATCAGTCATCCCATAGGCAAGACAGCATGGATTCAACAGAAGTCAGGGCTCAAAAAGTGAAACATTCAGGAAATACAGAAACACTGAAGAAATACTCTTTTCTGAACAGATCTAAAGTAGGCTGAAAGCCTTCTGTATCATGGCTTAATAAGTGATCCCCTGCCTTTAGAACTTATCATCCAGACCAAGAGATCACTCTGCAAGCAAACTGTAACCCAAGAACTACAGAAAGGAAGTATTCTTCCACTGGTGCTAAATTTTTGCCAACCTATACCTAGGATTACTAGCGATATGCCTAAATTTAAACTATTTGTAGAGCCCTGTGGTACACATTTATACTTTTCAACTCAAACCAGCCTTTTCAAAATCCAGTTGTCTGATACTTCCCTCCCACGCAAACAATCTCCCTCCATGTTAGTCTCCTGTTAATCACATGTGAATGCAACATTTCACCCACAGCAGGCTGCCAGACACCTCTGACAGTCTTGGTAACCTCCAGCTAAAACACAGCTTGTGATTTGGCAGTGTCCACTCAGGTCTGTTACGAGATTAGATTCTTTCAGTGTTCCTGCTTAACCAATATCAGCACACCACGCTCTAAACTACGCAACCTTCTCTTCCCTCCACTGTTTCTCAAAATTTAAGTAAGCCTGTCCCAACGTGCATAATGTCGTATACTTTAGAAGGATTAACAGCAACAAGAAGCTAAAAACCCTGTTTGGCAGTTACAGTCCTGCTCCACCAAGCTAACCATAAGTAGATGCCCTGAGCAAGAGCTTTGTATGAGCAAAATACTACTCAATTCAGCTGTCCACTGAACCTGAATTTACACCCCACAAGCTCCAAACGCTGGTGAAGAACACTCCTTCAAGTACACGCTCCTCTTGTTCACATTATTTTAATACAACTTGTGACTGGACATATAAGACACTTATGTATCAGCACATCCTCTACCAACTCCTCATTAAAAACATGCTTGAAAACTTTGGTTCCACAATTTCAGCTACAGAGTACAGCAGGACCTGTAGAGACCATGATTTCAGAGAAACAGTAACGGACACTAATATTGTGCATTTTCCAATATGACCAGAACGTGAAGTAAATCCATATCACTACTGTTGCTTTCTTCACTACCGAAGTGTTAAAGTCTCACTAAAGTGGCATTAAGACACTCACACACCACAGTAAGCATCATACAAACAATGACTCCCAAGCACAATACAACCAGTAAGGTAACAGAGCAAGCACGTGAAGCATTATAACTGATATGGCATTATTTAACGCAAAGAACTTACCATTAAAGCGTATGGGTACAACGGCTGCATTAGAGACAGGGAAAGGGGAATAAAATGATGCTTAAGGCTTTTTGCGACTGTGCGCAAATACTGCTGGCAGTGATCAATAACTACATGCATAATTAGTTAAGTTCTAAACTATTTCTAAGCAGGTCTGGCAACACGATGGCGCTACAGACAACTATCCTGCAGCACCCAGGGCCCTCAAGGCACCGGGCTCGCACTGGCTGCT